AAAAAAAAGAACTATAATGCAAATAATAACAATAATAATAAAAAGCTCATGGTGTTGTGAATGGATAATTATGATTGTAATGCATTCCACTATTGTCATGTATGTATTTAAAAAAAAAAAGAAAGAAAGTTCTACCCAGAGACCTCAAGCTGGGAAGAGAGGATGGCTCTTAAGTCTCAGGCACAGCAGTAGATATTAGGTGCTAGGGATTGAGCCCAGAGCCTTGCTAGGCAAGCCCATGGTAGGCAAGCACTCTACCACCGAGYTACATCCTCAGTCCTTTTCAATTCAAGAGAGGGTCTCACTAAGTTGCCCAAGCTTGTGATCATGCTGTCTCAGTCTCAGTAGCTGGGATTACAGGTGTGTTCTGTTTTGTTCTTAAATCCTATTTTGCCATGCTCTCATTCATGAATTGTTTGTTGCACTTGGGCTTATGATGCTGTTGATTATGTCAAAGTACATCTTCCAATACTCATTCTGATCGCTGGTGACCTTTATTTTCTCAACCAGTCGTTTCAAGGTACTCCAACACTTCTCCTTACCACTTTTATAACACCATGGATAAGAACTGATCTCTAAATCAGGAGGCCTAGCACAGTGCAGCAGGGCCTATAAACACTTGGCTAAAAACTTAGTATAGCTTGTAAGCCAAATTATCTTAAAACAGTAACAAATCATTTAGGAATCTAAAACAAGATGGGTACAGTTGTACACTGTGATTAAAGGTGTGTACAACTTAAGCCTGGGCAACTTAGTGAGACCCTGCAGTTGTACACACCTTTAATCACAGTGACTCAGGAGGCTGAGGTAGGAGGATGGCCAGTTCAATGCCAGCATCAGAAACTTAATTTAAAACACTTCTCAAAATAAAAAGGGATAGGGATGTGGTTCACTGGTAAAGTGCCCCGCTAGAACCAAAAATTAAAATAAAATACATTTGATTCTTACTCCTTCCTGTTTTAAATTCTACTGAAACATTTCCCCAGCCCTTTTTATTTTTTTTGAGACAGGATCTTGCTAAATTGCTGAGGCTGGCCTTGAATTTGATATCTCATGCCTCACTCAGCCTCCAGAGTCACTGGGATTACAGGCATGTGCCATTGTACCCAGCTCACTCTCCATTTTTTAAGAACATCAAAAACAAAAAAGGCAGGCAATATATGTGAAGTAACTGGCATAGTGCCTACACTGGAAGGCACTATGCCATATCTTTCTTTCCACATCACTCCTCTGCCCTATCAAACTCTATAATTTCTAACAATGCAGCTAAGAGGTACATATGAACAAATAACTTAAAAAAGAGTAAGGCAACCCAACAGGGCAAGAGAGCTACATATTGTGCCACACAGGATTTAAAGGAACTGAGGTAGTGCAGCCAGAAGACAACAAAGCAATTACCCTTTCGAGCACATTCTCACAAAGGAAAATATGCGGGAAGCTACAATATCAATCTGGTTCAACATAAGGACTGAGAAACTCCACAGAAATGAAATACATCATGGAGTTGCAGAAACAGCATCACTGAAGGAATTTAAGATGCCACTGTATCACCTAATACTGCAGAAATCAAGAGAAATATTAGCATATAAAATCCTAATTGGTTAGGGTCAAATACCAGGCATTATTTTACATGGCATTTTGGTAGATATCTCTGGGTTTTATTTTCTTACTTGCCTTTTGTCTCAGTGATACTACTAGTACACTCAACAAAATAAATAGTGCTCACAGTGGAATCCTTTACGGGCAACCCATCTCTGTATAAGACTGAGTATGATATAAAGTAACCCATAACAGGCAACCCTGCCAAGAATTGCTCCCTAAAACAAAACCAGTGAAAGACAGTAATTTATTTTTAAATGCTATCACCRAAAAGTAATGTCCAAACTCACCTTGACATCTATCACTGCCCAGGGTGAGCATGGTTTCTGTGAGTAGTTGGATCGTTTGATTTTTTTTTTAAGTACTTGGCAGTGAACCCAGGACCGCTCTCCCACTGAGCAACACCCCTCCCCCGAACGAATACACAGGCACACTTTTTTGAGACAGGGTCTTACTAAATTACCCCCAATGTAATTCTTCCTGCCTAAGCCTCCCAAATAAGTGGGATATCAGGTGTGTGCCACTGTGCCCAGTAAGTCACATGATTTCTAGTTACTTTCACTGTGAAGATTCCGAGTCCAAGCAGATACTATCCAGAAATAAAGACAAATGTACTAGATAAAATCCCTCTACTGGACTATAGTACCTCTGGAAACCTAAGCATAGTCACCAAGGCAGAGAACAAAAACAACAATAAATAGCCTGTAAGGGTATATAAGAGAACCAAACAGCACCCTTGTTACTATCTCTAGGCATC